GGAGGTTAGCAAAGAATAAGAAAAATGCTTCTTCAGATACGCTGAAACTAAAAAGAGAGAAAAATCAGTATACCATTTTTTTCAGTGAAGCACAAGGCTAATGTAATTCAGAAAAAGCAGATCTACTCAGCTCTTACTTTGGCTCACTCTTCATTGAGAAGAGAGATTCCATCAGACAACCATGAAGAACAGGATGAAAGGGCAAGATTGGAATTTGAGACCGTATAGTCCCTGATCTTGTTTCTGTCAATTTCCTTTGAATAAATTAAAGCCAGCAGAGGCAGATAAATTAGGTGAACATTTATATATTATCCTTGAGAAATCCTGGAGAATAGGTGAAATGTCATTTGACTAGAGCAGTATTTCTCAACCCTGGCAATTTTCAGATGTGTGGACTTCAGCTCCTAGAATTTCCCAATCAGCATGGAGTGGATTAGAGCAAAGCAAATGTTGTCTCTAAAAAAGAAAGCAAAGGAGAATTCAAGGAACTACAGACCAGTCTGCCAGATATCTGTGTCTGGGAAGTGCAGATCATAAAGTTGTTTCAAAGAATCCTGAAGATAATGTTGTAATTACCAGAACTCACCAAGGGATTGTCAAACTACTATACTCTCATTTTTTTATTGGACAACTTGGTAAGTTGGGGGAATGCTGTAGACATGATATATATTGATTTTAGCAAAGCTTTTGACACAGTACTCCATGGCATTCTGAGTGGCAAGGTATTTAAGAGTGGACTGGATGGCATGAGAAGAGTGGATACGTAGCTGCCTCAAAATATGTAGAGCACTCATTGACAGTTCCTCAACAGACTGGAGGGGAGTATCAAGTACGTTGCTACAAGTTAAGTCCTGGTCTTTGTATTCCTCAGCATTTTTATATGACTTATATGAAGAGGTTAAGGGAATGACAAGATTTGCAGATGATGCAGTTGAGTGAGATAGTTCCCTAAAAGACTAAAACAGAATTCAGAATGATCTTGATGGGACAGAAAAATGGGCTGAGAGTAGCTTAACAGAGTTAAGTACAAAGTTATGCATGTAATAAACACAGCTTAAAAACTGCACAAGTATGGAATGGGAGGTACCTGGTTTTGTAATTGTCATTGTGGAAAAAGAAGTCTTGCAATAACAGTTGATTATCAAGTGAATATTAGTCAATAGTGTGATATGACTGCCAAAAAGCCAAATGCACTTTGAGCCTGCATTAACAAAAACTTTCTAAATCATAGCAAGTAATATTTTTACTTTATTTTACATTGGTCACATCCCACTTCAAGTATTGTGGCTAGTTCTGGGCATCCCATTTAAGAAAGGATTCAGATGAACTGGAAAAGATTCAGAGAAGGGCAGCATAGACATTTAAGGGGATAGAAACTTCTTTGAGACTGGAATATTTTGCCTTGAGATCAAAGACTGAGGAGGGATGTGATAATACTTGTCAACTGTTGGAAAGGGTGTCACATAGAAGAATGCTAAGACTGGTTCTTTGTCATCATAGAGAACAGGAGATAAGAATAGGCTGGGGGAAAATATCTTTGTAACAGTAAGAGCAGCTTGATAGTGGAATCAATTTCCAGTTGAAGCAATGGGATTGCCTTCACTGGAGGTTTTCATGGACTGAACAGTCATGTGTCAGAGATGTTTGAAAATAAGTTCCCAAACTGAACAGTGAGTTGATCCCTTCCACCCAAAAGACACTGTCTTTGTAAATAACATTTCTCCTCAAAGATTGTCCTCTAGCTTAGAAGCTAAAATAACCCTTGTGGATATACAGTGTGCATGCCACAGATCAGGTGCCCCAATCTAGTATTTTTTTTAAAAAAGCCCTAAACTCTTAGCCTTGTAACATTTTTTATGTAGCAGTTATCCCTCTCCAAGGGGAAAGCCCTTTTTTCATCTGTTGGAATAGGACAGAATCTCTAAACAGCTCACTGTCTTGACTTGGGATCAGCAATTCTGGGGGATGGATGCTAAAGTGCATGTTATATAATACCTTCAACACATCACTGATGCGATTACAAGCCTAGAGAGAACAAGCTTTTTCTAAATGTTTGTTGAGAAAGCACCTAATTGTCAAGTTAGTTCTAAATAAAATACTCAGGCAAGCAAAGTAAAGATCCATAGCTATTCTCCACCCACTCCATTACTGCTTATCTGTTTGACGAGTGTTTTGGCATGCTGCAAGATACATGGAAGTCATTACTTGGTTTTATAGGGTGTGTAAGTCACAAAAAGCGTATTTTTTTAAACCACAGAAATAACAATTTTGCTAGGAACTATGACTGATTATATTCGCTGCTGTGACTGCTACTTTCCCCTTTCTGAAGCCTCAGGATATGGACTAGCAGACAGTGGCAAAATGTGGATGGTGGTGAGGTGCTGGAATAGCTGTAACCTGAATGGTACTGAATTTATGTGCTCTACCTACAGTATATGAAACTTACTGCAGAATGAGCTCTGTGGAAAAGCAAGCTGCCAGCCACAGCTGTGAGAGGGCTATTATACTTATTGTGCATAATTATTGTATTACACATTGTTAATGTGTTTACTTTATGTGTCTTGATGTGGAAATGAGAGGATCACCTAAAAATAAGTTTAGACATCTTTCTTTTAGTAAAGATAGAGATGGTGGTAATTCTATAAAATAATTAGGTCACAGTTCATGTTGTGTATATGTGTGTGTTGATGTGCATTTGCATGCATTTCTCAAAATGGTGTTTCCAACCTTTTTTATAATTTCCTTTCTAGGATGTGTGGGTGGGGGTGTGTACACACACCCACACACATACATATAAAATACTTAGTCAAAATGCACTATAAAAAGTATAATGCTATTCTCGAATGTTGCACAGTGTTTTGGCTAGTGAATTCAAAGGTTTAAAATGTGTTGCTTGAGGAAGAATATCTTAAGTCATGTCTTCACACGTGAATGCACAATCTGAAAGTGTCTTCATTTAATTTTAAGTTGCCAGATAGTGTCTTTTGAATGTCCTGCTTGTTTTGCTCTGTAGAACAAAGAGTTGGTTTCATTCTGAGTGTCCTTTGTAGAAAGGCTTGTGTATGCTTTGCTAATTGTAGCAGGTAACATGGAGACAAAACACTGCTGGTAACTTACTGAAATATTAATACACTTCATTGTTCTTCTGTTTGTTCTGAATGTTGGTAAAGCATAACACAAAGCACTAGCTTGATGGAGACAACTTATATTCATTGTGCAATATGTTAATTGTGAGGGTAATTTTTTTTTTAGTAAATCTAAATTTAAAAGAATGGATAAAGACACAAATGGTATATTGATTTGTACATCGCTAAGCTTATTTGTGTCAATGGAGAACATGTTGCTGCATTAATTTTAGTGCTAAACTTGAAGAGTTTCCCAAATAATCTAAGGTAATTCTTTAAATGAAAATGAACCATATTCTGACAAATTCTATTGTGAAATAGAATAATGCCATAGAAATGCTTGGAACAGGCTTCGATCACTGTATATTTATTCACAGTGCTGATGTTTATAGAGAATGTGGGCCTTATTAGAGTAGTTATCTCTCCTTAGAATCATAGAGCTGAAAGGGTCCGTAGAGGTACTATTACTCAGTGCAGGATTCATGAGACCACTTTGGACATTCAGTTTAGAGTGTAGAGCAGAATTTGCCATATCATTTGGCAGCCTGACAGGTTGAGTAGTCAGGAAGCTCATCTTGATGCATAGCTCAATCCCTCTTGTAGTTTTAACCCACTTATTCTGGTCCTACCCTCTCCCCCTAGTTGTCTTTTTTATATACTAAACATACCCAGATTTTTTAACCATTTCTCATGGGCTTGGCTATCAAACCCTTCACCAACTGGATAGCCTTCCTCTGAAATTCCTCCAGTTTGTCACTGCCTTTTTTGAACTGTGGTGCCCAGAACTGGACAAGTACTTCAAATGTGGTCTAACTAGATCAGAGTAGAGTAGAACAATTACTTGCTGTTTTCTGGACTTTATGGTTCTTAAATGCACATTGAGATAGCATTTGCCTTTTTATCAGCTGCATCATACCCTGTTTCATCCTTATACCTGGCATTTTTCCTACCCAGATGCAGAACTTTACATTTCTCTCTGTTAAATTCCATCCTATTGATTTTAGCCCACTGCTCAAACCTTTTTGAAATTTCTTTCTTTCGTTTAATGTATTAGCCATCCTTCCCAGCTTTCTGCCATTTGCAAACTTTATAAGTATCCCCTCAACTCCCTCTTCCAAGTAATTGATAAACTGATGAGCAGTACAGAGCCCAGGACAGAGCCCTGTTGTATTCCACTCTCCTCCAGGCTGATTTGGAGTCATTAATGAGCTCTCTTTTGGTGCAATTGTATGATTCTATGGATGATGTGATTCTGTAATTCTATTACACCCATTGTTGTTTATGTCTTAATATTAATTTGAGTTATCTTGTGCCAGAGTGGAATATGTAGAGATTCATTTTGATTTTAGGCTTCCTCAGCACACAAGCATTCCCCATTTTATAGCTGAGTGTCTTGTTTAATTGAAGATTTATTTAACGGATAGATGAATTCATGCATAGAAAGGTGAAAGTAATGTAATGGTTAAAGCAGTCTTCTAATCTGGTATCTTCTGGATATGTTTGACTAACATCCATAATTTTTAGCTATGAATGGGAAAGTCTGGTTGAGAATGCCAAGTTAAATTAGGAAGATGTAAATTAAATTTCCCTGCTGTGTCATGAAGTTCTCTAGAGTGACTTTAGTCAGTCACTATCCTCCTAACCTAGTTCGCAAGAATGCTGTGAGTATGTAGCAGTGGAAAGAGGAACTTTTTCATGTGTTTCTTAGAGAAAGGCAGGACATAACGTATACAACCAAAATATCCATTATATTAATTAGATATTAAAAGTTAGTGTACATTTTGCTTCTCTGAATGTTCTACTAGAATTGTAAATGATTTTTTTTAAAAAAAGAGACTATATAAAGGATAAATAATTATTTTAATATAATTTTAGATCTCCTGGAAAAATCCCGTGTTGTTAAACAGCCCAGAGGTGAAAGAAATTTTCATATTTTCTATCAAATTCTGTCTGGAGGATCAGACGATTTGCTCAGTAAGTACAATTTTGGAGAATATTTATTGAAATTACCACTGCATATGGAATTAGATAAGTTACTTTAAGCTGGCACAACTAATTTCAGTATTGTGTGCACTTTTTATTTAAATCCATATATAGAAAAATGACTACTGTTATTGCTGCTAAATAAGAGCAGTAATGTGGATTTGCTAGTAAAAAGATGTATTTTCATTTTAACAGAAAAACTTAAGCTGGAGCGGGACTTCAATAGATATAACTATTTGAGTCTAGGCTCTGCAAAAGTAAATGGAGTAGATGATGCTGCAAACTTCAGGACAGTGAGGGTAAGAATTCCTATTCTTTTGCTATATTTAGTATTGGTTCAGCCTCAGTTTGGACTTCCAGCTAATGATGAGATCTGTTATAAAATAAAATTATAAAATTTTCAAGCAGATTTAAGTACTGCAGGTGGAACTGATATGGCATGCTCTTTTGCGTTGACCAGTGATTAACATATATGACCTCCAGGATTCCTTCCACCTCTGATTCTATCAACCTCCTTTATTTTTACAGCATTTCTTAAGACTGTTTTCTAGCCAGTCAGAATAAATAATCTCCCTCTTACTAGACTTAATGTTAAAATGCCATGGGTCAGGAACATAAAACCATGAGAATGGAAATCAGTTGGGGACACTGCATTTTTAAATCTCCTTACTTTCATATATTTAATGTTAAATGAAAGCAACATTAGCTAAAAGCGTTATGAGACTGTATTAAATGTATTCGACTTAGGAATGCTTGGTTGTTCTTAATGATTTTTGTGTTGAAATGTGTTGCTATGTTGTTTTATTGAATATAGAGGGGATCTGTACTTATAAATATATTTACATATTTGAAAAAATAAACAAACAGTAATTAAAAAATTTAACTGTGAATTAAAAATCATTTCTAGTAACACCTGTAGGTTAATTAAGGTTCTAGTGTGACTGTAATATGACTGCTAAGAGCTGTTTGGGCCAACTGAGAGATGTACATTTGAATCTTAGCTTTCTGATAAAATCTTGTCTGAATTTTAAAAGCTTCTGTAATCCATATACCTCTTCCCTTATGTTCCTATTTATCCCCTAAACCCTGTTCCACTTGCCTTCCCATGCTCAAGTGCTTTGAGGGACTACCTGGAAGCAGGGCTTTTCAGTGGTACCCCGCTGGTTTTGGTATACTCTGTCCAGTAAGGTGTACCTAGCGCCATCCTTATTGTCTTTTCAATGCCTGGCAAAGGCATTGTTAATACCCAAAGACCTTTTTATAATGTGTTAATACTGCCATGAATTTTAACTTTCTTATCATTGCTTTTACTTTCTGTTTCTGCTTTAATGTTTATCTTGTTGCTTTTATTTTGTACTGTTCTTATAAAACGTTTCAGTATATGTTTTTATTAATGGAAGTGATATAGACATGTAAGTAAATAAATAAATACTACTTAGTTGGCTTTGAAAATAAAATAAATTGGGTGTAGTGGGAGAAAAATAGCAGGAGGAAGGAAAGGATGAAAATATAATAAATAAATATACTGGTCTTTGACCATAATACAGATTTGATTTGATTTGTAATAAATAAAAAATGTGATTTCCATCTTCTAGAATGCAATGCAGATCGTGGGATTTATGGACCATGAGACACAGTCAGTTTTTGAAGTTGTTGCTGCCGTCTTAAAACTGGGAAACATTGAATTTAAACCAGAATCTCGTGTGAATGGATTAGATGAAAGTAAAATCAAAGATAAAAATGGTAATTCAGATAGTAGTTTAATTGAGTAACATTTATCTACTCTCCATTGATGTATTGCTTTTTTTTTTTTTTTGGCTTGTTTCTAAATCTCCTCATTTCAAGGTAGATGACAGAATCTTTATTTCAGAATCCTTATTATAGTATGTTTACTAGGTATTTTTCTGTCAGCTTGGAATTCTTCAGAACTCTTCATCAGACAAGATTTAAAATCTTATGTCCAACTGTCATAAAACTGTCATTGGAAAGATTTGGTCTTCTAGGTTGTATTTGGTCCGTAGAAGATAAGCATGGCCAAAATAAAAACCATTTTTTCTTACCCCTCATCGACCTTTTTCCACCTTATCCAGTCTTAAAATTACTGATTTAATATTAACATGTTTAGTGAAGTACAGTATCAGTAGCTGATATTGGAAGCCATACAGAAGCCTTGAGGTGCCGCAGTCTGTGCACCCAAGAATGAAGCAAAAGCAGACTGGACAAAAGGAGAAAAGCGGGATGATGTTGCAGTCATGGAGTTTGGATTTAATCATAGTCTTAAAATGGAATAAGGGATGGAATTGAAAACATTCAGATTAGACTCTTTCAGATCCTTTGAGGTTTTAGGTTGCATGTAGTTCTCTATCTAGAACTGCTGGGATGAAGCAACAGTAATTTAGCATGCTTTGTTAAAAATATAGCATTCAATTTTTATTCAGAAGTATTTCCATCCTTGGGTAAAACAGTTTCCTTGGTAGGTGGAAACCAGCTAAACTAGGCAGTTTTTATATTAAGAAAGCTATAGATAATTTTAGATGACATAGCAGATATTTAAAAATACGTTTTAGAAAGGAAATCAGTAAAAGCTAACTTGTGTGCAAAAGTCAAGCACCCCCAGTCAAATTGTATGTTTCAGTGAATCACTAAGTAAACAGAAGGTGACACACCCTCTACATGGTAGAAAGTGAAATACGGCATTATTCTGCAAATTTGAATGCATACTTACTATTTCTTTGTAGTTATTTGCAGATTCAAAATAAGGAAATGATGAATACAGCAGGTGCAGCTGTTTAGTCTCCTTTCAGTGTTTCACCTAGTCAGTTACTAGAAGAAAGTACTTTCAAATAAATAAATATGTTTCTCTTGAAAATATAATGAAACTCACATCAGACTGTGTATACTTCAAGTTATGGTCCTTTTTTTCCACAGAACTTAAAGAAATATGCGAGTTGACAGGCATTGATCAGTCAGTTCTGGAAAGGGCTTTTAGCTTCCGCACTGTTGAAGCCAAGCAGGAGAAAGTATCTACAACTTTAAATGTGGCTCAGGTAATACCAGATGATTACAGTAGTGGGGTTCCCCCCCCCCTTCAGTAGCAGGTGCTGCAAAAAGACTAAAGCCAGTATTCTTTAAAGAATTTCTAATTTTTTCTCTCATTATTTTAATATTGGAAATATGAAGAGGCAACTCCGGTGTGGTAAACCTTTAATTGTTATCGCAGAATTTACTCCTCAACCGTTTTTTAATGAATTCTATATTTTTTTTAACCCTCACCCACTCCAGTCATTTGTGTGCTTAGTATTATTTCTAAGTTTTTGTGTTGTGTAGTCCTGTGCTATAGCAGACACAAATGTATCGTTGGGACAGATCAGCTATTGTCATGAGTAATTGCATTATTCTGACACAGTCCATTGAGTGTGATTCACAACACTTAGGAATGCCTTTCACGACGCTGACTCCATGTGTGAATGGGCAACTGATTAGCGTTTTGCACTAGAACTTGGGATTCTGTCTCTGCAAAACATATATTTTGTCTCATAGCACATGGCTATGTGGAAAATTGGGCCAGAGCTGTATTCATGATACAGAAATCTTGCGAAGCTAGGTTGGCTTGTGAATAATGAAGTTAAAATATATTTTGAGTGATATCCAGTGTCTCTGCTGACAAAATGGCATCATTCAACAGAATGAATTCTTTCCTTAATTCCCCATTACCCACGCATACCCAAGGTTTTTCAAAGGTTGGAGAATTTACAGAGGAGATGTGGGAGAAACATCAGGGACATGCAGGAATCGAACTGGGGAGAATCCTCCCCAAATAACATTGGACGTAGGCCTTTAATGGAAAATTAAGTTATTTCTCTAAAGCACACCTGCAGACCATGAGTGGGCATTGATTTATTGTCACCTTATGTTGTGCCAACACCAGAAAATATTTTGGTCAATCTTAAATCTTTGTTTTTTAAAATTTTAATTAATTTTAATTTTAATTAGGCTTACTATGCTCGGGATGCTCTGGCAAAGAATCTTTACAGCAGACTGTTTTGTTGGCTTGTTACCAGGATCAATGAAAGCATTAAGGTATTGTCCATTGAAATACAGTAACATTTCAGTAAATAACTATAGTTAAACTGAATGGTCATCTGGTTCTGGCATATTAATGTAAACAATATGTATGTAATATGATGGTATTTTTAATTTACAGTACTCTTGATCTATCTGTCTGTCTGTCTGTCTATCTATCTATGTTACTGCCATCTATTAATCATATAACTTTTTCTACAGGCACAGTCCAAAGTAAGGAAGAAAGTAATGGGGGTTTTGGACATCTACGGCTTTGAAATTTTTGAGGTATTTTCTTCAAATTGTAATTTTTTAGCAAAATATACAGTAATGTATTATTTGTACCCTGCATCTTTAAAAAGGTTTTGAAATCAGCATATAATAGGTCAACAATTAACATAGGGCAGTGTTGTCCAAACTTGGCCACTTTAAGATGAGTGGTCTTCAACTCCCAGAATTCCCCA